CACTGAGCTACAGGAGACTCTATGGTGAGCAAGGGTCAATTAGTGGGTATTGACTGGAACCGCATCACGCGGCTACACAGCCAAACATCAGCTAGCGCATAGAAGCTCACTAACAGCATCACGCTGTCACATTAAAGCATCACATGCATTAAAGCATCACATGCAGCCAACCAGCCTCCAAAGTGAGCATGTAAAGATGAAATAAACAATTTTTAAAAATCGAGTTTCCAGATGGGATTTGAACCCACGACCCTCCGTGATCTAGTCGGATGCTCTAACCACTGAGCTACAGGAGACTCTATGGTGAGCAAGGGTCAATTAGTGGGTATTGACTGGAACCGCATCACGCGGCTACACAGCCAAACATCAGCTAGCGCATAGAAGCTCACTAACAGCATCACGCTGTCACATTAAAGCATCACATGCATTAAAGCATCACATGCAGCCAACCAGCCTCCAAAGTGAGCATGTAAAGATGAAATAAACAATTTTTAAAAATCGAGTTTCCAGATGGGATTTGAACCCACGACCCTCCGTGATCTAGTCGGATGCTCTAACCACTGAGCTACAGGAGACTCTATGGTGAGCAAGGGTCAATTAGTGGGTATTGACTGGAACCGCATCACGCGGCTACACAGCCAAACATCAGCTAGCGCATAGAAGCTCACTAACAGCATCACGCTGTCACATTAAAGCATCACATGCATTAAAGCATCACATGCAGCCAACCAGCCTCCAAAGTGAGCATGTAAAGATGAAAATAAACAATTTTTAAAAATCGAGTTTCCAGATGGGATTTGAACCCACGACCCTCCGTGATCTAGTCGGATGCTCTAACCACTGAGCTACAGGAGACTCTATGGTGAGCAAGGGTCAATTAGTGGGTATTGACTGGAACCGCATCACGCGGCTACACAGCCAAACATCAGCTAGCGCATAGAAGCTCACTAACAGCATCACGCTGTCACATTAAAGCATCACATGCATTAAAGCATCACATGCAGCCAACCAGCCTCCAAAGTGAGCATGTAAAGATGAAATAAACAATTTTTAAAAATCGAGTTTCCAGATGGGATTTGAACCCACGACCCTCCGTGATCTAGTCGGATGCTCTAACCACTGAGCTACAGGAGACTCTATGGTGAGCAAGGGTCAATTAGTGGGTATTGACTGGAACCGCATCACGCGGCTACACAGCCAAACATCAGCTAGCGCATAGAAGCTCACTAACAGCATCACGCTGTCACATTAAAGCATCACATGCATTAAAGCATCACATGCAGCCAACCAGCCTCCAAAGTGAGCATGTAAAGATGAAATAAACAATTTTTAAAAATCGAGTTTCCAGATGGGATTTGAACCCACGACCCTCCGTGATCTAGTCGGATGCTCTAACCACTGAGCTACAGGAGACTCTATGGTGAGCAAGGGTCAATTAGTGGGTATTGACTGGAACCGCATCACGCGGCTACACAGCCAAACATCAGCTAGCGCATAGAAGCTCACTAACAGCATCACGCTGTCACATTAAAGCATCACATGCATTAAAGCATCACATGCAGCCAACCAGCCTCCAAAGTGAGCATGTAAAGATGAAATAAACAATTTTTAAAAATCGAGTTTCCAGATGGGATTTGAACCCACGACCCTCCGTGATCTAGTCGGATGCTCTAACCACTGAGCTACAGGAGACTCTATGGTGAGCAAGGGTCNCAGGTCTGATTTTCACTATTGCTTAAATAGTGCTTTACTGCGAAGGATCGTGCACATATACATATATATTAATAATATGAACGACTTCATTTCATCTTCACTCCCAAGGCTCTACGCAGATGATATAACGCACTATGCTTCCAACACAAGCCCAATAGTCTCACAATACATTATGAACCAAGACATTGTGGCCTAAGCCCTGTTGACCTGTTTTTCCATTAGCTGGCGATCCTGGATCTTTGCATGATGCTAAAAGAGTAACAATTTAAAACTCTGATTGCAAGTTTTAACCAGTGGAAAATAGTTCTAGCTGATATATGCTTGTATTACATGTAACTTCGGAAGAACCGACACGTGTTAGGTTTATTAGTTTATCCTTTTATCTCGTAAATGAACAGCTGTCTTCGCTCCAATCTCAATACTTTTTTACAATGACATCTTCTTTATCTGTGCTACCGTAGCAATGGCTATTCAGAAGCTCCTATTTGTCAAATGTGTAGCTTCTAAAAATTCTTTTTCTCTTTGTGCCATTGTACCAACGGGTATTCGATGATTCTTTTTCTGACTGACCTCTGCACACTGGAGGGTTGGAGATCCACTTTCCATTCTCACAGGTCAATCTCCTTGGCCCCTCGAGGGTATAATCTCCATTGCATCGGTAGTCAATAGTTTTTCCATGGCCAAAATATTTGCCAAGTACTCGTCCGTTATGTATGTCCAGCGGAGGTACACATGAAGCTACAGTAGTTAGCCATAGGAAAGACTTATAAATAGCTCATTATCATACGAACTTGTCGATGAAAGGCAACAGGTTTCTTATCGATCAGTAAACCAGTGATTCATATGCATAATTGGACCAAATTTTCCATCCCCTGTTTCTCAAAGAGAGATGCCTCACTTCAGGGTAAGGTTCGTGTATGAAATAATTAAGCGAAATTACATGCGCAATTTGATTGGTTCCTACTCATGATCTATTGGGGAAAGACGCAAACACGTCATCACCATCAACAAAACTTTGTCACGTTGCTTTTTAATCATAAAATTATATATAATATATATACAAAAAGATTTCATGTTGCCGAGGGTCTGTAGAGTAAAAGATTACAATAGACGTAAAAAATGTGGTAAGAACATCGGTGACAATTTTGGCTGCGCCTCGTTTGCCACTTTCTTGTTCCAGCCACATTTTGAAATCATTTCTGGCTATTACTTTAACAACGCACAGAAACTTGGAATCTATTTGTGAAATAAATCAGTATTCAGTAGATCTATAGATCAAATTCGGTGATACTGGTCTGGTACATCAACAAAACCGGATCGTTATTATTTGGGTCTTCATATGCCCATGACTGTGTTCTTCAATACTATATAGTAGGTAGGCAGGAGGAGAAAAACAGCGTTTATCAACTATGTTTATAAGTTCTGCCAATTTGTAAGTTTCCCAAAGATTTCAGTAGAATATTGTAAGCATTTCGAAAGCATTCTCTTGCACCAAAGGTTTTTAAGTGTTTTGTAGCTAACAAAGTCCCTTAAGAGCTTGCTGAGTACGTTTTCTAAACTAAATCGATACAGACCTTTGCATTTAGGAACAACATTCGTCCATCGACCATTGTCACATACTTGAGCACCACTGCCCTCCATGGTGTAAAAGTCAAAGCAGCCGTAAGTGATATTTTCGCCATGCTTAATCATTTCCCCTATATTTTGTAGGCCTAATTTGACATAACCGTTAACGGGTCTTCACGAACCTCTGAAACGAGCTGCAAAGAAGGAGTCAAACGATATGAATCTGCGTCTTTAGGTATTACCTAAAAACAGTCAGTAAGAATACATGCGATTTATGTCTGGAAGATCCGTCTTGTTATCAGAAACTGAGACCTGATAGTTTTCATAGGTTTCCTTTTAAAAGTTAAAAAAAAAAAAGAACCCTTAAGGTTCATGTCTTTTTCGTGAATGAAGTGACAATAGAGTATTTTTTATTTAAGTATAATTTTTATTTGAAAGAAACAAATTTGTTCAACATTCTTATTCAGTTCAATGGGTGTTTTGGCCTGTTCCTTACCTTAAGCCATTATACTTGAATTTAACATCATGCGAACCATTTTTTCAGTAAGTCGCTCTGAAAAATCATCAAAGCGTATCCATCAGCATGTGTACGACATACACTCACCTTTACATTGAGGTACGGTGGAGTCCCATACTCTGTTAACGCAACGAATTCTCTTTTTACCAAACAAGTCATAACCATTGTCGCAAGAGAACGTTGCTACATCTCCATCAAGGAAACGGCCGGAAGGATTCTTCCCGCGCACTTTTCCTTTATAGGGATTTCTCAGAGTGCCACAAATGCCTTGTTGATCATAAAAGAATTTCAGTTATTATCTTAAAAAGTGCAATTTAGTTTTCGCAAACATAAAAACAGCTATTATTAGCAGCTATAGCAGTTTTTATCTTAAGAATGCAATTAAGTTTTTGAAAACATAAGAATCAAGCTTCCCTAACCTTTGCAGACTGGAAATGGTTTGTCCCATTGCCCATCATAGCATTTGATGGGGGAGGAGCCAACTCTTGTATAGCCAGTAAAACATAAAAACGTTACAGATTTTCCATGTCGGTGATCTCGGCCCACTATTTGCCCTTTTGGAGGTGCGGTAGGTCCGGCACATGGTGCTATGGAGTCAAATCACTTTCGATTTAAAACAGAAACTTACATTTTTATCACCATCGTTATGCTGTAATTTAATTCAGGAAATGCTATGCAGCATCACAGGGGGGTGGGTAAACGTGCCTAAAACGTTGCATATATATCTAGATGTGAGCAAGTCAGTCATCTTTAAAAATAAAGATGCATTCTTGTGCACCAGAGGAATTTTCAGTAATTAGTGACAGTAGTTGGAAATAGCTGAAGTAGCTACCTTAAAGTTACTAAACTCTTTATTTTCAATATTGATCCTTAAAAAAATGGGTTTTTTAAGTATGCTTAGTACGGTTTCCTCTTTTCTACAATCAATTGTTTGATGTATCAATGCACATACACAAACAATTTTATTTATTACTTCGATGATGATATCATAAAAAGCAATATTTGATCATTACTTCACGTCCTTTCCTTAATTCTGGAAGTTGCAAAAGCAACTCTACATTCATTGCCTGAGAGCAGTAATATGCTGATTTTTATTCAAGGTTCATTGTCCTGTGGACGCTGATGTAAGTGCCAAGGGTTTCCTGTTTTGTTTTAGAGGTATTTAGATTAGTTCGGTCGATAATGGTCAATCGGTTAATAAAGGTCATTCGTCTCATGTTTGAAGCACTCGAAATAAAACAAAAACTCTAGTTTTTTTGTGAAACCCGTATGGTTACTGACCTAATTTAATATCGATGTGTTTTAAAAAAAATGCTGTGTCTTGTTGAGATAGCAAGTCAGAACTTACCTCGGCAATTTGGCATCTGGTTGCTCCACACGCCATCTGAACATGTGCTCGTTGTCGCGCCCTCCAAGACGTAATTCCTATTACAGAGATATGATACTTTTTGGCCGTGGCTAAAGTTGTCGCCAATCGTATTACCATGTAAAAGATCGCCAGGATCTTGGCAAGAAGCTGTTTTGGAAAATATAGAATCAGTGAGAGAACTAGATCATTACTTATCGAGAGAGATAGAGATAGCTTTATTAAAGAATAAAATCATTGCAGCCTCCGGACCGGCTGAACTGTGACTTACTTTACAATGAAACTAAACCTTATCTATAAATATATGATAAACTACTGAAAAAGAAAAAAAGTTTAAAATTTAACCTACAATAAAATACAAAAGGGGAGGTATCAATACCATAATACTAATAATTAAGATTACTACTAAATATATCTCATCAGACGCGCCAATACCGCGTGATATTTGTACTCGTCTATGGCGTTATTTGTACTCGTCTAGGTGTAGTTTGATAATAATAGTCAGAACTGTTCGCCATAATAAAACTGTTTTTAAACCTTGTAGCCAAGAGAGTTTTTTTTTTTTTTTTTTTATCAGTTCTGTCGTTCGTCTTTGTTAATTGTAATTAGTGTAAATAGTTCTCGTCTCGATAGTTCAGTTCTGAATTTATTGGTTTGTATTTTTTCGTGCTGTCAAAATGTAAATTAAGTTTGTCAGCGTTGTTTCATGTAATCGCCTTTGAGTATTGTGTAGCCTTGTTTAGTCTATTGTTTTAGCCTTTTATCCGCTATATAACATCGTAGTTGTGATTTTCATTCAGTCGTTGTTATTCCGGAGTGCCGTACAGATCTTGTAAGTAGTTACGCTTTCGTTTGTATTTTCCTGTAGTTTCTCGTATTCCTTTCGTTGTATTTTAGTTTCGTTGGGTTTAAGTTCGCATTGTTGATGCTGTATTTTTTCTGTGTGTGTTATGTACAAGTGAATCGTCGAGATTAAAAAAGGTACGTATTTCAAACTGTAACGGAGTGTCAGTTACAAACCTATTGGTCTTACAAATCGGTAGTTTGAAGTACCTCTGGCTACGGGTGCAATAAGTGGACTCGTTGCGTGACGGAAGCATATTATGGAGCTCATGGCTTTGGTCCTTTACAATTTGGTCGAATAGAGTGTTACTCAAAGCCTCCCTCCTCTCGTATAGTGACGTAATGTCTAGAGCTACCAGAGCCTCTGCATAGGATAAGTTGGGAGTATTATCCGCAACGCGCGCTTTTGCAATCTTTCCATTTTCCATTTACTTATGCAAGAAAGATGCGATAGCTTCAAGGGTCTCAGTTTATGATTCAATTTAAACCAACAGGTCGCGCGTTAAAAGGCTCGCATTTCACGTTTCTGTTAACTACAGTCGAACCATTATTAAGCGGCACCGTATTAAGCGGTCACCCGGTATTTAGCGGTCGGTTGTCAACGTTCTGAATTTTTTCCTCCCTGAATCACTGTAGATTTCACCTCTATTAAGCGCTCTCTTCTATAAAGTTGTTGTGGTCACCGTTTACTGAGTCCCAACGTCCTGTTTGTATCGACCTCTACCTCTATTGAACGGTCACTTCAAGCGAAAACAATCAAATGAAACTGAGAATTATATTTCTATTAAATCCATTTTTATCTCCCAAAATCAGTGTTAGTAGTATTTTGAGTCTGCTTACGCTAAGTGGTCAGTTATGTCATAATTTTTCTTTGTGTTTTTATAATACTTCTGTTCTGTAGAACCTTTATTTAGATAAAGGTTACTTGGTCGATTAGCTGTCATTCGGTAGATAAAGGTGATTCCTCTCGTGTTTGGTGCCCTCGGAATCAAAAAGAGATTTCTCTAGTTTGTTGTGAAACCCGGATGATAACTGACATGTTTTAATACTGATATCTTGATAAAGAAAAAAAAATGATCTGACTTGTTAAAAAAGGAGGTCAAAACTTGCCTCGGCAACTTGGCATCTTGTCACTCCATCGGCCGTCCGAACATCTGCTCGGCGGTACGCGCACCCTCCAAGACGTAGTTTCCATTACAAGAATATGATACTCTTTGGCCGTGACTAAAGTTGTCTCCAATTTTATTACCATGTAAAAGATCGCCAGGATCTTGGCAAGAAGCTGTTTGGGGAAATATAAATCAATGAGAGAACTAGATGGTTAATTACGCAAGAAAGACGCTACAACTGTAATCGGCTGCACGAGATCAATCTGCGTTTAATCCTTCAAGGGTTCCAGGCTATGGTTTTATTTAATCCAACAACAACAACAACAACATATAATGAATGAAAAAAAAAAGCAGTTCCATTTCAGCTCGGTGTGTAAGTTAGCAAAGTGATATTTCTACGTAGACTTGTTGTTGATCTACTGTTCTGACATATGACTTGCCATGCAAACCTGAGTTACATGCAAGTAACAAATTTGACAAAGAATAGCATATCTTGTTCACAAATTTATGGCACAGTACATAAACATGACGTATGATACAGTGGAACCTGTTTTAACCCTTTAACTCCCAAGATCTGATTGTTAAGAGCAAATGTTACCATCGGTCAAACATTTCGTGGCAACAGCTCAAAATTCAATTTGGCCCATATTCTCAGGTTAGGTAGACCTCGATGTAAAAGAAAACACTGCATCATTTGTTTGGCTAAATATCGATTAGTTTTCGAGAAAATCGATAATAACCGAATCCTAAGAATTTGCCATAATTTGAGCTTACAATTTAGGGCGAAAAAGAAGGCTTCGCTTAACGAAATAACACACTGTAGAGAAATGAAATCTACTGAATATTGTAGAATGATGCCAAAATGTGTGAAAAGGAATTTGAACAATTCTCTTCCATTTACTTTGAAAATATAACTACTTTCCGCGAACCCTCTTTCACTGATTAAGATGACAACTTACTAAAAAATAACCTTACATTTCCAAAGGATTTTTTGGGGAAATGATTTAACGCGAAGAAATTGAATTTTAAAGTTGGATAAAACTATCTGTTTTTAACCGACCTTCCAATTTATGAAGTAACACACAGAAATACAATTGTTTCAAAAATAGCTTTCAATCAAAAGCGGGATTGACGTAAAAACTTTAAAAAAATGTTTTAATATCAAAGAGTTAGATTTAATTTCTGCTGTCACTTCGTTTGATACAAATTTCACTCAAACTACAAGATAATTTTTTAAAGATAACGCAGCTGTAGTGTTTGGTCACACGCCAGCGTGAGACCGGACGTGAGATGTTTTGGTGTGAAGATTTCCCAACCTTATCTCTGAATTTAAGATCAGACATCAGATTTAAAAGTAATTTTCGTTTGTCTTTCCTCCAAAATCAAATCAAATCAAATTCGAACCAATAAGCAAACCAAAGGCAAACAATTTAACGAGCCGTCTATTAAAAACTGACACATTGGAAACCTGTCTTAAATCAGTGACAATTTCGGGAAAGAATCAAATCTTTTGATCATGAAATTAAAGGCTCATTTGACCTTCTTTACCAGCATATTAAGATTTTCACATTTTCAGAGTATAATAACAACTTACATTTTCCTTTGCGGACGGAGCTGGGCGTTCTCAGTCTGTTGGATTCGCCGAACATGTATCTACGGTAATGCTGCAAGGAAACCGCTTAACGGTTACGTGACCAATTTTTATTTCCGGAATTGAGAGCAGAAGTTCACCCGTACGGACTTCTGTGGCTAGAAAATCATGAACCCTTGATATAATGCTGCTGCTAAACATTTCAAACCAACGATTCTTTTTAGTTTCAATATCAATTTCTACATTTCATACCCTCAGCTCCATTCTACGGTGATAATTCACATAAACCATCTTTCTTCGTAAAGTGAATGAACCACTCGGAAAACAAGGTCTAGCCTCTGAATCAATTTCAAAACTGTCATCACGTAGCTTTGTTTTCAAATGATTCAGCCCGTTCATGATGGTCACCAGCTATGAAAAGGGTAAGAACATTATTGTCTCAGTGGGTTAAANGGATAATAAACTATATTTCCAGGAACACATAAAGGAAATCCTTAATAAATTCTACGCAAAAGTAGAGGCACTGAGACGGATAAAACGCTTAGTACCAAAGAACACAATGACAGCTCTCTACAGAAGCTTTATTCTACCTCATTTCGAATACATTATACTGCAATCCTCTTTTCAATGGTCTTACAAAAACGTTAAGTAATAAATTAGAAAAGGCAAACCTTTATGGTCTAAGAACAGTTTTAAACCTGAATAACTCAGGTTTTTATGAATCTGCCCTTAAGTTAATCGACATGAGATCATTGTCAAATAGACGCATAGAACAATCGCTCGTCATATTTTATAAATGTTTCAAGGAAAATGGCCCAAATTACATTAGCAATTTTTTTAAGCCCCGTATTCTAACTTACAATTTACGTAACAGGGGCCATAATGTTGAACAGAATTCTTACAGTACTCAAAACATGCACAATTCTTTTTCACATATTATTTCTCGAAATTGGAATCAGTTACCTTCGCCTGAAAATTTTGCTGAAAATGTATCACTTTTTCGTAGATCAATTAGCAAGCTCGATTTTCCCCGTTGCCAATGCAACAATTGTTGAAATTGATATTTATCATTTCCAACGATTTGTTGCCACTATATAAATTGCATGAACTCATTACATTATATATTATATTTATTATCGAATAACCTTTTTTTTGATATTGTATATATATATAAAACGCTTCATATATTTTCTCTGTCAATCACTTCTGTCTCGGGAGATCTGGGCAATCACTCCCTGTGTAATTGACTTTAAATAAATTCCTTACATACTTCTGTTTGTTTAGCTGAAGAAAGTTCCCAACTTTTAGACTACAAAAAAATTGTCTCAGTTCGCTTAAACAAAACCGACTCCTGCTTTTAAATTAGCACCGACATTCTCAATTAAATTCATTTTATTACAAATTATAGCGACGACGTTTTTATCATTTCACAAGGTTTCCCTTGGGCAACGTCGCGAAACTTTTGTTGTTTCCTCAGGTGATGATTTTTCTACAGCGATCACATTTGTCACTCTTTCACCTTCATTTGTTTTTTAAACAGGGTATCGTTAGTCTTAATTTTTACTTCGCTGATATCTAATAAAAATCATTATGATCCACTCGTCATT